CAAAAGGATTACTCATTGGTTTGTGTTTCCAATGAATAAAAGATTTGATAAACTTCCTACAACTTCGGGGTTGAAGAAAGGATAGTCTTGACTTGTTGATTTTGTGCCAACATGCAAGATAACAGGAATTTAAGATTTTTATCCTAAAGCCATAAGGGTTATGCAATGAAGCATTTGGGACTTTGAGGAAGTCCCAAACACCATGTGCGAAAGAAGTAGTTGCTTGTTTGATTTTATATTTCCAACAAACAAAAGATAGGAGAACTTGGAATTTGGCAAGGTCCCTTGGCATGTATTTAGGATTCTTAGGGAAACCCAGGTTAACATATCCAAAGAAGGAGAAGAATGATGTCGACTTGTTGATTTTGTGTCAACAAGCGCAATAAAATGAACCTAGGATTTTCATCCTAGGGTTGAGGGATTTACACAATGAAATGTTTGGAGCTTTGAGGAGGCTCCACACGTTATGTATAAGAAAGAAGATATTTGTAGTTTTAGAACCACAAATCAAGAAGCAATCATCGAGTTCGTATTCGATGATATAAGCTCACTTACCTAAGTTGGGTTAGGTAAATATGATAGGCTAAGATTGGGGTCTTATGCCTAAAGAGAATGTTCACCTGTTTATCTTGTTTCAACAAATGGAGGATGAAGCTTAAGGGTTGACCCTAAGCTTCAAGGTTTTTTTATATAATGATGTGTGGAATTTTAGAGAGAATTCCAAACCCTTATATGTGAGAGGAGAAATGTTTCATTTTGCTAACTTTATGTTGTTAGCAAATGGAATGGAGACTTAGGGTTTGATCCTAGAGTCTCGATTCATGCGCTATAATAATTGGAGCCTAGAGAACGCCCCAACTACCACGCATGAGGGACGTATACACAAGGAAGAGAACCTCCTATTCTCCTACAAATGTTTTAAGTTCGTTTGAAGGAAAGAGGATTAACTCCCTAATGGGTTGGGGAGCTTTCCCAAATCAAATTTGATATGATTTTGGGGATTTCGAAGTTTCTATGAACATCCTAAAGATCCGTTTAGCGAGATCTAAGAGAAACCTAAAAGTAGACATGTAATGATTTGTAGCTTCAAGGGTAGAGCTAGAATTCACACAATCTAACATTTGGAGCCTTGAGGGAGCATCCAAAAGTCATGCAATGGTATGTATTTAGAACCTTGAGAGGGTTCCAATCACCATGCATAGGAGGAAAGGACAAATGCTTGTAGATTTTGTATCTACAAGCAAAGAGATTTAAACCTAGGATTTTTGGGATCCTAAGTTAAGATCATTCATGCAATAGAAAAATGAAGCTTTGAGGTGCTCCAAATTACCATGCATGAGTGAGGGAAGACTACTACAGAGCTTCCAACACATTGAAATGAGGGAAGATTACTAAAGAGCTTCCAACACATTGAAATGGTCTCCAAATCAATTTTGGCATGATTTGGGTAGGAGGGATTGGTCCTACAATTTTGAGTTTGGGAAGATAACTTATAGCATTATCAAAAGTCTACAAGAAGGTGGTTTTCCCTAAATCGAACCCAATATGATTTAGAAATTTGAGAGCTTGCATCAAGCCATATTATCTTGCAAATTAGGAAAAATGAGCTTAAATAATCCCTTAGTGTGATGGAGCAATGATCACGGGTCTTTGGGGTCCATGAAATGCTCCAAATCAAATTTACCAATACTTAGGATTAAATGAACACATTTATGAAAATTTGCAAATTAATAGACTCATTAATCTAAGCAAGAAGTACATAACATATGACTTGAATCTCAATATAGTAGGAAACATGCATTTGAAACTCTTAAGGGATCAAATCACTTTTGGCATGATTTGATTCATAAGGGCATAAAGATGAGTTTCCAAACTTTGAAAGTCTTGCATAACAAAGGTAATTAGCCATAAACTTTTCTACCATAAGCTATACAACATATCCAAAAGCGAGGTTAATCAAACACACTCGTTCTAGGATTTTCGAAGTGAGTTTTTGGGATTCACATTAAATCCTACAACAAGTCATCAGGAATATTTTGAATATATTGTAAGGCTTATGACAAACTCCACAAGCTTCACCAAATTTCTAAATCATATATCTATTTCGTCATGACACTAGTATTGAGTAGGTACATGTGCACAATGTGAAATTTGGGAGGATATGTGAGCTACACACTCAATTTGGCTACGAAAAGTAACATACCCTAGGGTTTGAATGTAGGTGAGGATGTCAAGCTCAATATGATGCCCAAACATACATTTGAGAGTTGTTGAATAACATTCTAACACCTCTACACGCATCCCTCTTCGGACCCTCACATGAGAACCAACAAATGAAAATCACCGAATTTTCACTGTTTTTGCAAAGTGGACAGCCAATAAGGGATTTTGGGAGAGCGAAAATCAAGGTTTCTAAGGACCTAGGGCTTGGGGGCATCAACCACACAACAATTGGCCTTGGGGGACCCTAGGTTTCACTAAGTTTTAGTGTTATACCTCTCCCAGATTGTCCTAGCGCTCCTATCCAATCTCCAAGCACTGTCCAAGCTCCAATCCAAGTTCCAAATGCTGTTTGGAAGCCTCCAAAAGCCCCCAAACCGCTGTCCTCTCCGTGTAGGCGCTCCCGGAGGTGGATTTCACCGGTAAGAAGTCTCCAAAGTTGGTAGAATGGGAAGGAAAGTCTTCTACAACAAGCAAACAGCCTTCAAAATGTTCTCTAATGCCTCCAACAACCCTCCTACTTTGCTTCCTTCTGCTCGAAAAGGAAGAAATGGCAGCCCCCTTTAAATTTCAGAGAGAAACAAAGATGAAGGTAGGAAGAACTGCACGAGAAAAGATCCCTGTGTGCTGGTTAAGTTCAGTTGCACACAGGAGAGTTTCTTCCTCCCTCTGGTAGGGTCGGATGGACGCCAGAAACGCAAGCGAGAGGGCGCTGGAGGGCTCCCTCGCTCCGCCTGGGTCGCGCGACAGCAGTAGAGCCGCAGCTACGGCTCTTTCCTTCCCCGGTTTCACGGATGCGGGAGGCCCGATCAGGCTTCCTTGTTGCTCGGGCTGGATGGATACAGGCAGAGCCGACCGGCTCTACTCTCCCTTACTCTCGTTCGGACGAGCACAGGCAAGCAGGAAGAACTCCGCTCTCTCCTTCGGCTAGAAAGACCACATGGAAACACTTCCTCTCAGTTGCTCTCTCTCTCTCTCGCTCGCTCTCTCTGTGTCGGGACAAACAACACAAGGGGAGCCGAGTAAGCTTTTCCTCTCTGTCTCCCGCTCCTTCTACACGCAAAAATTGTGCTCGAGTAGATTTCCTGCCCGATATCCTGCTACATCCACAAAAATCAGGTGATTTGACGGATAACAGAGCGGGATTTTAGGGGAAATCTATGCCGTTTGATTCAAATCTTGATTTGGGATTTGAATCGATCCAAGACTTGATGAATTGTGTTGAAATTAGGTTCAAATTGGACTCGACCCGAATCGATTTGGATCGGTTTGGGTCCAATTGGGTCCGATCAATTTAATTTCATGAAATTAAACCTGAATCGGCACCGAATTGCGTCGAATTAAGCTCGACGGGGTTCGATTTAAATTGATTTGATTTTAATTTAATTAAATTGAATTTAATTTAATCAAATTGAGGCTTAATTTGGATCAATTTCGCCTCGACGATGATCGATTGGGTTGATCGAGTGCGATCGAGCCTAGTCGGACTCGATCGGGGTCAAGTCGATGCGAAAATATTCGTCAACAGCTTACTTACATTTATATGTTACCTATTTATTTTTTATTCAGGAATGCATATGCATATAAGGCTTATGTCTTATGATTCAAGGTTTATGCCTTCACCTCAAATTAATTACAACACCTCTTCTCATGCTTTTGACTTTTAAAACATTGGAGCATACAACTCCTAATCAGAAGGAAAATTTATCAAATTTAAATTCGAGGAATGGGAACATTGGGCATCCCTGCATTAGGTCATGAGCTGATAAACTTATGACAAACCTTTGGACATCCTTCCGATAAAGATAGAGAAGTCTTCAACAGAAGTAACAGCCCAAGTAATGAATTTCTAAGGAAAACCTTTTAGAGATGAAAAGTTGGGTATGATCCAGAGATGAAAACCTTCTCTGAAACCATTCCTCAATTGTGACGTGATGGTCTCTCTAATGATCTAACTAGTTCTTGGTGGCTCCCCTCAACTTTACATTCAATCATCATGGCATGTACAAAATTGAGCTCACTTTGGGAGGTATGATTGGTTAATTGGGACCATCTTTGGTAGAGATGGAGCTATCTGGAATTGAGCTTACAGAAAATGGCCTCTTGATCCCAAAGTTGAATGTGAGGGTCAGGGTGGGACCATTGGGTTGTGCTCGGACCATAGAGAACTCATTGGATCACTTAAGATGTTGTTATTTAAAGAATGTATGACTTGCATGTTTAAAAAAAACATTTGGTATCAAGTTTTATCTAAAACCCTTAACCAAAAAAAAAAAAAGCAACCTCTGTAGAAAATCCATGTTATAACCAACAACCTATTTGCCAGTATTTCAGTGTTGTAGAAATTCCACGGAGATAAGTTTATGATTGGTTATGACATTGTTAAGGTTTGTTTTAGGGACTAGAATAATACAAGTACACTAGGCTTAGTGATTAAATTTGGGTCCTGATGAAATGAAGCACATTGTGCTCCAGCTTGTTTTGTCGAGTTTAGGGTTTAGGCTATGTTTTGAGGTTGATTTTATCTTCCGGCTGCGTTCTACACAACAGAGCTTTTGTTCTTGAGTTGCTATTCTGCAAACATACTTCTGGTTATGAATTAGTTGTCTTTTAATAATGTGATCTGTACTCTGTGCAAACTAGTTTTATTTTTGGATTAGACATCTTATTTGAAAATAACTTTGTTGCATTGGAAGATTGATTTTTTTCTGTTTGAGGCGTCAAATGGTGTGTTTAGTGGCGAGATTTACTAATTTTTATTTTATTTATGCTTGCTATAGGAGAGGCTGGTTGGACACCGGACCAGTGGGGCCATTCACGTTACAAACCAACAAATGCTACAGATGGTCTTGCCTATCGCCAGCAGCTAAATGTCTTCATGCGTGGTCTTCTAAAGGCAAGTTCACTCATGTTTTCAGCTTTGGGTTTGATTAACACAGTGGTTAGCAGGCAAATTGGGAAATACAGATTAAGAAATGATTATATTAGTAAAAATATTACAGTGATATCTATCAAAGATGATACTTGAAAATAGACTTATGTGTTTTGGATACGTTTAATGAAGGGTAAAAAATATGACATTATATTAGTATATGAGGAGGAGATAAACCTAAAGATGAAACGAATAGAAGTTGTTTAAAAAGAATTATGAAGAATAGGTTTAAGATCTTTGACAACATTCCACAAAATGAATGGAGTATGACATTATATTAGTATATGAGGAGAAGAGATAAACCTAAAGATGAAACGAATAGAAGTTGTTTAAAAAGAATTATGAAGAATAGGTTTAAGATCTTTGACAACATTCCACAAAATGAATGGACTATGAGGTTTCATAAAGCCAGTCCCAATTAGTTTTGATAAAAGGCTAGTTATCCCATTTTATATTAATCTCATTTACTGTTATAGATGGCTTAGGTTTGCCTTCATATAAGCCAATAATATCACTGCTAATGGCATTCTTTTTCTAAGTGGGGCGTAATAAAAAGCTTAATAAGCATGCAAGTACCAGTCTTTTTTTCCCTTTGACTCGCTTGTATTGGGATGGAATTACATCTAATCTGCTTGTTCATTCTATGTTTTCTAACCTCCTTTCCCTTTCCTAACCGTGCGTGCTCTAGATCTCAATTCCTTGGTAACATAGAAATATTATTGTAGAAATCTTGCCTGTAAATATCATGTTTTCTTATTATCGATGCTGAAGAATTAGATAACGTAAATTAAGCTTGTCACAAGTAAATTACTGGTAAAATATAATAATCTTGTGTCGGGGCTCATTAGGTGGCTCTGACTCAGTGACATGAATAGATGATCTGATGAACGCAATCTGATATTTTCCATTGTATTTTTTGGCAGATGATGAACGAGCACCCTGATGCTTGGCCATTTAAGGATCCAGTAGATGCACGGGATGTACCTGATTATTATGATATTATCAAAGATCCAATGGGTATGTCATGTGTGTAATCTTTTTGTTAGCACATGTCGATGTTGACCTAAAAAGACTTGGTTAGAAAATCTTAAAAATGATCTTTCTTTATTAGATTTAAACAAGAATTTGACTTTTAACAGAACACAATGGAGAAAAAGGATACATGTAGCTGACACCACGTAGTGGGACAAAGGCTTGATGTTATTCTATGTCGATGTCATCTAATATTTCTTCCGATATTTGCCTTCAATTAGCATTTAGCTAGGCTTGGTTGTGTTAGCGTGAGTAAAATTGATTTTCCATCATTTTCATAGTTCTCATCTTTTGCCTGCTCTCCATTTAACTATTTAGCAGGATTTTCCTTGAATATTATTTCATAAAGGGTGAATGGAATTGATGCTATTAAAATGAATATTAAGGTTGTACTTAAAAGAAGTGAGGAAAAATGTGTTTTTATCACCGCTAAAGATTGTTGTACTGTGATTTTGGACATATGTAGCAGTAAACAGCAGCGAAATGCCGGTTAAGTCCTGTTATTGACCTTAAGAATTAGTATTGGGTTACATGTGTTATTTTTTTTAATCAGTCATCCATGCCTATGTTAGTATCATGATTTTGATTCTTTGTATGTTTAACTGCTGGTATGAAACTCTTGTAATTTTTTCAAACCATGGTTCTAGCCAGATAGGTCTACTATGGAAGCTTCATACCAGCAGTTAAACATACAAAGAATCAAAATCATACCTGAAATAGCTTGAATGGAAGGTAAGATTAGAGAGAGTTGCCTTAGATGGGTTGGTCACATAAAACAACGGCCTTCCGATAACCTGATTAGAAGATTATATGTATTAGATTTGGCTTATGTTAAGAGAGGTAGAGGAGAGGTATGCCTAAAAAAGCTTGGTTAGAAAATATTAGAAATGATCTTTCTTTATTAGAATTAAATGAGAATTTGCCTCCTAATAGGACACAATGGAGAAAAATGATTCATATAGCCGACCTCATGTAGTGGGATAAAGGCTTGATATTATTATTGTTGTTGTTGTTGTATTCTTCTAGCAACTTGACGATCTTTTTGGTTTTGATGGTATGCTTTGATATAAGAGAAATTGTCGAATCTGTGAGGGCCCCTTCAGTTTTAAGTGTGAAAAAGCTGTTTTTTTTTTTTTTCTCAAAAGCCAGTTAGGATGCTTTTGTTTGCTCTGAAAACAAGATTCTCTGCAGTTTTATACGTTTTCAACAATTTAAAAATGAGAAGGCAGGCAGAGTAAAAGAAACTATTATTAGGAGCAAAGTGGTTAATTATCACCAGATATGTTTTTGTTTCCACTGAATCTGGAGGCAAACGTAACAACAACAACAACAACAACAACAATCTGGAGGCAAACGTAATGTAACAAAATAAAAACTGGATAAAAAAGGGACTAACATTGCTTAATGGTGCCCAAGTCATTGCGGATAATTATTGCATTATTATTTTTCTTAACAAAATGCTCCCATCTTCTTGGATTCTCATTTAGATTTCTATTTGAAGGTGGTCCTTTTTCTCCTATTAGAAGTGGAGAAATTCAACCAATAGCAAAGACCCTTAGGGTATAGGATCTATTTCTATGTATTTTGATGCTAATTCTGATGCTTTTGAAATATATGGTTTGGAATCCGCAACTCATTTTATTTATTTGCCGGATGTTTATTCATGTTGGAATTGGGAGCAGAGGTTCCAAAATAATCCGTTAACTTCTAATAAAAACTTTTTTTCTTGTTATTTCCATGAGTTTTCCAAACTCTTGCCACAGGTATATTCAAACTCTTCTCATATATTTTATTGTTTTCTTCTTTCTGACCCATGTTAAATGAAATGACAATGCTACACAACTAGATTAGTGGCCGAATTTGTTGGTCAAAATAGCAATATCACGATTTTGCCATTTGCTTTATTTTACTGATGAATGCAAATCTGGATTTATTTTTATTTTAAAGTTTTGGCTTTCTACTCAGCAAACTGTTCTGCCGGTTCTCACTGAACCGGCCCAAGGAGGGCCAGCTCTAGTCTACCGGAGGCGCACAAACCCCACCCACCCGCCCCCATCCACACCCAACACCCAATTAATGCCGCCCAAGCCTAGTGGACTCCACTAGGAGCAAATTAAGGCTTCGTTTGGGACAGCTTTCTTCTGCTTCTTAAAACAGTTTTTTAGTACAATAATTTTAATTTTTGTACTAAAAAGCTGATTCAAGAAGCAATAAGAAAGCCGTCCCAAACGAAGCCTAAGAAGAGAGAGGGGCGGCTAGGGGTTGGAGGGAATTTTGAATTAGGGAATTAATGTATTAATAGTATGGGTTGTTTAGGGTTTAGGGTTATGCATGCTTTGAGTTGTTCTCTTGGAACTCTTTAGCATCTTGGGCTTTAGATTCATCGTCTAGAGATTGGGAGAGAACGATCCTCCTCTCGAATTGAGGATCAATTGTTTCTTGTTTGGTGTTTGCTTTTGCGTTGATTCCATTATTACATTCTATCGTTTTGAATTGATTTCATCAAAATTTTCTTATTGTTCCCGCTGTTTTCATCAATTATTGCTAGGGTTGCTTGCAAACTCTAAGTATTTCCTGTCACAAACTTTTTGGACATTAAAATATAACTCTAAATGAAATTGAAATCACCTCGTACTCAACTTTTGAATGCTTGCTTAAATCAAATATGACTTTCATGAGTTCCTTATAATAACACATAATTTTGTGGAAAATTTTGCTTCATTTTTTAAAGTTTATGCATCTTCATTAATTTCCAAATATCCTCAACATCTGCTTTTTAGTTAACAGGCATTTGCATGATACAAAATAAGAATATTTTGAGGATTATGGCAAAAAAACATTTATTGGTTTATGATAGCTATGATTAGTTATGATTAGTTGATCTTTATTGGTTCTCTAAAACTAATATTTCTCCTGTTCTGTCAGTTTTTGTGTCTGACATTTAGTAACGCGTGATGCAAGTTAGGTACATAAGATAGTGATAGTTGAACAAGGTTTCTGTGTACTGAATTAATATTGTGTTTCAATAGCTATATCACCGTACAAAAATGCCATTGAAAAGCATGATTTCATGTACCTTATTGGAGCAATTACTTCCTTCCTCATCCATAAATTTACACTACATAGCATGATTGTCATAGAATTCGCTTTTAATGAATAAGAAGCACATGATGGTGTGCTTGGAGAAACAGTTATATTATATTTCCTCTGTTGTAATCTTGAGGTCCCAAAAAGTTCTAACCCAGGAAAACTACCTCTATTCAAATGTAGAGATAAAGCAATATACACCAGCTCCTAGGGCTGTCAAAATCGGGTCACGGGTCAGGTTCGGGTCCACCCTGAACTAACCCGACATTGTTTGACTCAATCGAACCAGACCCATTTTTGCAAACGGGTCGGTTTTTCGGACTCGAACCCGCCCTGCTTCGGGTATGTTTTATTAAATTTTTTTATTTAATTTGATTTATTTAAACATAAATCGAATTAAGGTAAAACTTAATTCAATCAATTTAAAATAGACCAAGCTTTGTTTGGACAACATGATTTATTATTTTTTGAAAATAGCATTTACTTATTTCAAAACAATCTTTTAAAACCCTCTTAAATCAATTAAAAGTTGGTCAAACCGGGTTGATTTCAAGTTTCCGGGTCAATCCGAACCCGAAACTTTTGGGTCGGATTTTCGGGTCTTGTCAAATATTGACACCCCTACCAGCTCCCCTCTTAAGACTCTGCATAGCGATAGTCTATTCACTATTTCCATACACCATAAATGATGCTTTTGTCATACTATTTGCACATTTTGCTTAATTATCGTGGCATGTATTGTGAATTTAGACTGAATGATCTTCTTAATCTGGTGGACTTTAAAAACATCCATCTTTTGAATATTATTTCTTAGATGATGATTGTGAACTTTCTAGCAGTCATTCAAGTGCGATATCTCCAGTTTTACTCCTTCCGTTGGCTATCTGTTCTTTCAATTGGATATATATCAGCTGCTTCGTGATCACTAAACTTGTTCTGTAATGCAATTTCCACAGACCTAAAAACCATGTCGAAGAGACTCGAGTCAGAACAGTATTATGTTACATTTGAGATGTTTATTGCCGATGTCAAGAGAATGTTTGCAAATGCTCGGACCTATAACTCCCCTGAGACAATCTATTACAAGTGTTCAACCAGGTAAGGCTAATACCTTACTAGAAAATTTGAATTTTGATGAATTTTAAATGCTTTGTGATGAGTATTATATATGATTAATCATTCAGCTCTTGCATACATTAATCTCAAAACAAATTTAATTATTTTAAAATTCAATCTAACCAAAATTTATTTAAAATTTCCTCATTCAAATTTTCCTTCTGTGTATTGGTGCCATTAAAAAGAGAAGCATAATACTAAGTTAAATGTTGCAGAGATGAGGATGCTTAGGTGGATGAGTGGCTTTACCCTTAGAGATAGGATACGAAATGAGCATATACGGGAAAAGGTTGGACTTGCTCCAGTGGAAGATAAGATTAGAGAGAGTCGCCTTAGATGGTTTGGTCACATTAAACGGCGGCCTTGCGATGACCCGGTTAGGAGAGTAGAGGTATTAGATTTTA